CCCTTGCACCTACCACCTATCCCTCCCCCACTTCCTCTTCTCCCACCCTATGGGTATCCCGGGCTCAATGCAGATGCTGTGAGTCCCACCCAAGATGTCCGGGAGCCCCCAGCCCCTGCAGCTCCTCTGGCCCCACCACCCCCTCCATCCCCACTCCCCACTTCTGCCTCATCTTCCCCTAGGTCTTCTGTGCAGGCCCCCCCTTTGCCAGGTATTAACAATAGCAGTGAAGCACCACCCCCGCTGCCCCCCAAATCTCCCAGCTTCCAGGCCCAGCCCCAGAAGCCCAGTGTGCAGACCTTGCCCACACCACCAGCCCCACCAGGACCTCAGTTCCTGCAGAAGAAGAGACATGGCCGAGGCCCAGGTAAGCTGGTACCCTTCCTTGTTGTCCTTCCTTGTTGTCGTTAAGTGCCATTGAGTCAGTTCCAACTCAGAGCAACCCTGCATAGAGTTTCTGGAGAGCGGCTCCTAGCGGTCTAATCCTACAGAACTACACCAGGACTCCAAAGCACAGTAAAAACTTGTGGTTGTGTGGGACTTTGTTATCTTAGACATTCATTTTACAGACAGCAAGGCTGAGAGACGTTAAGAAACTTGCCCAAATTCAAGCTGCCTGTGAGCAAGGGATTCTGGTCTTGGTACCCTCGCCATTTCCTAGCAGTGTGGCCCTGCCTCTCTCCGCTCCCTTCACAATAGAGACAATAACAATACCTCATTGGAAGTCTGTGAGAGGATTAAGTGGGTTCACAGGTGTGAGCAGCTCAGCACACAGCCAGGCAACAGTGAACTCCCGTTGTGTGTACCATCGAGTTGACTTCTTCATTGTTTTTCCATGAATTAAGAATATGTGCTTACTATAGAGCAAGAAAGCATGGTGACTCACTCCATACAATAAGCACTGGACTGCAAACCACCAAGTCTGTGGTTCAAGCCTGCCAGCTGCTCAGCGGGAGAAAGATGACGCTTTCTGCTCCTGCAAAGATTTAAAAGCTTCAGAAACTCAATACAGGACTGCTGTGAGTCAGAAATGACTCGATGGCATGTAACAACAATGATATTATAGAACAACAACTGTCGTGGTTCAGACTCCAGATCTCCGTGTGGAGAAGGGAGCTATGAGTGCAGCATGTTTGCAGAATAGTCTCCTGTGGAATCTTTGCTTGAATTACTTGGTTCCAGAATTGTCACTGGCTCTAAGGTCAGTGGTTCGAAACTACTAGTTGCTCCGCGGGAGAAAGATAAGGCTTTCTACTCCCGTAAAGATTTACACCCTCGAAAACCCTGTACAGGGTCGCTATGGGTCGGAACCGACTCGACAGCACATAACAACAACAACAACAACTCAGTAGCCTGAGTTAGCATCTTGCCGAGTTCTACAGCTGCCTCGGTAAAAGCAAGAGTCTATACTTCGAGTCAACTATTAAGAGTAATCTTTCATATTTCCAATAGCAAGTGGATTTTGAGTTGAGTATACTTGGCTTCCAACCCCCTGACTGATTTCTCTGTGGAGCCGGGAGGCTTCATTCACATTTGGTGCTCATCCCCAAACATCCCACCACCATCCATTCACATGTCCCCCTGTGCACAAACACTCCACATCCATATCCTCACAGGCTCACATTCTTACACACACAAATAATACACACATATTCACAAACACATCCTCACACACACAGCCACATATGCACACATACACACATATGTCCACTCACACATATTCCCTGCACACATATCTCTGTACACACACATCTCCACACACCCATATACACACTCATCCACCTTTATACACTCATCCACACACTCACAGCACACCCATCAGCTCCTGTCAACACTCATCTCCTCATCTAACACACACACATCTACACTTTATTCATCCACACATACATATTTCTTGGTTTTTCAGAGAACTTTTTGATGCATAATGTTTGTTAAGTGTTTTTCCCTGAATTAAAAATAATGCCAACTTATTATAGTGCAAATTTGTTGTTAAGTGCTGCTGAGTCAATTCTGACCCATAGGAAATAAAAAGAAGGAAATTGAGATCCCTATAATAATGCCACTTGTAGATAAAAAACTGTCGTGCATAGATGTGCTTCCTTTCTTTTTCTTCTTATGTTGTTGTTTTTGTTGTTAAATGCCACCAAGTTGGTTCTGATTCATAGCAACCCTGTATAGGGTTTCTGAGATGCAGCTGGGGGATTTGAACTGCTAACCTTGTGGTTCACAGTCCAGTGCCGATCCTACAGCGCCACACCAGGAGTCCTTTTCTTCTGTAGACAGCTATATATTCACAAAGAGAATACCATTTTGTACAAATACTTTTATATTGTTTTTTAGATTTAATATTAAAGCAATTTTATCACATCATTTTAAAAATTGAGTATATGAATATGATTATCTCTATTACCATATTCCTCGTTGCAAAGAATAATGGCACAAACCATTCCTCCCACGGTACTCTACTCAACTGAGTTTAATGATTCCTCGCAGTGGTCACACAGAACTCACACCACACTCACAATTATGGAGTATATTGGGGAAGCCAACAGGTGACAATTCAGGGTCAGAAATGCTCAGGGCACAATTGTTCCAGTCAAGCCAGGTCTCTCCCTGCCCAGCCAATGCTACAAAACTCTTTTAGGGCTGCTAATAAATGTCCATAGGACACACCACTCCCCCATTAGCCTCAGCCTGAAAGTACTTGGTGCTAGCCGTGTGAGTCAGCAAACCTAGCCTCCCTGCCCTCAGGTAAGTGTGCCCCACTCTGTAAGGAAGTCTCCTGTCCAAAGCCACTCAGCTTTACTTGCTGTGAGGACTGGGAAGCCCACCGCTCTGTTTTGTGCTCTGACTCAGTGCTGCTGCAGTTCCACTGCCATGCCTGTAACATTACAGCTGGGTGGAAGAGATTCCATGCACAGGGACCTCAGGGTCCCTTTAGATCCATTGCCATGCCATGGATTCCACCTCATGGCAATCCCAGTACCTAGAGTAGACCTGTGCTCCAGAGGGTTCCCAATAACTGATTTTTCAAAAGGAGATCAATCACTAGTTCATTCTTCTGAGGCACCTCTTGGTAGACTTGAACTCCCAACATTTCAGTTAGCAGCTGAGTTCATGAATCATTTGTGCCACCCAGTTAGTTCCTTTAGTCCCTTTGGTGGTGATGGTGGAGTCGATTCTGACTCATAGTGACCCCGTACAGGGTTTCTGAGGCTGTAAAATTTTACGGGAGCAGAAAGCCTTATCTTTCTCCTGCAGAATGGCTGGTAGTTTTGAACTGCTGACCTTGAGGTTAGCAGCCCAACTCATAACCCACTACACTACCAGAACTCCTTAGCTAGTCCCTTTGTGGTTGTTGTTAAGTACCGTGGAGTCGGTTCCGACTCATAGTAACCCTGCACAGGGTTTCCGAGGCTGCAAATCTTAATGGGAGCAGAAAGCCTCATCTTTCTCCCGTGGAATAGCTGGTAGTTTTGAACTGCCAACCTTGAAGTTAACAGCCCAATTCGTAGCAAGCAAATCCCTGTGGACTTTGGTATGTAGGAATGGAAGACCAAATAGAGGAGGAAGTAGTCTGGGCCACAAGAAAGGAAGTTGAGTAGACACCGAAGAGAAGTGGGAGGAGTTAAGATAGACGTGGGCAGTAATGCCCAGCTGCTACTGCTACTTTAGGGCAGTAAATCCAAGGCTGGGAACCAATGCTCATCTGTCTGGTCTCTTTCTTTATATCTTTGAACATTCAATTTCATTTTTTCCCATGTCAAATAAGGGTGATTTCTGCTTCCGCCCAGTTTGAGGGATAGAAGGTGGTTGTAAGGCATAGAAAATAGTGGTGTGACTGGCTTCATTGCAGCAGTCGAGCGAGGTTTACAGTGTCATTAAGAAATGAGCATCAGCAGAAAACCTGAATGGATGTTGCAGGACAAGGGGTTCTTAATTGCCAGATGAGTCTTACAGACCAGAATCAGCAGAGGCCATTGGGAGCCCCCTGTGGGAATAATCCGGGATGTTTTGGTGAAGAAGGTAGCATGGATGGGTGGGTGGGTAGATTTCGATTGGAAAGAGAAGCAAGGGTTTGCAATGCAGGGGCACCCATGTGAGCTGAAACACAAAGACAAGATTAAGTCTTCGACAACCTAGATGTCTAGCCTCCTTCTGAGCCCTTACTGTAGATATTCATTTGCCTTCTGAAAACTTCAGTGTTTTCCCCTTCCATGGGCTGTAGCATCTGCTGATGAGGGGCATCCCTGTCATTAGTAACATCCCACCAGGTGGCATTTATTGAGCACTTACTGCATGCCACTTGACATAAGTAGTTTAATCTTCGCCACAATCTTCAGAGATGTGTGTATACGATGAGTACTCCCATTTTGCAGATGAGGACATTGATTCACAAAGAGGTGATATTACTTATCCGAATGGGACCACTGGGATCCAGTCCCAAGAAGGTGGGCTCCATAGGCTGCACTTTGGTTCTCCATATCTTATAACTCACATGGTTACAGCACCCTTCCAGCCTCGTTCCTGTAGCTAAATGTACCATCATCTTCTCTTCAAGGGACCAGTGGGGGGAAGCTAAATCCACCCCCGGCTCCTCCTGCAAGATCACCCACCACAGAGCTCTCAAGCAAGAGCCAGCAGGCCCTGGTCTGGACCCCACCCCAGCAACCAGCAGGTCAACTGAGAAACGGAAACCTACACATCCTGGGTAAGTGTGGCCCACCGCCAACGGGGCTGCCAACGAAGGCATGTTTTCCTCTGGCTTCTGGATAACCGGGAGGCTCACTCTAGTGAAGAGTAACCTCCAAGTTCTTTTAAACAGGGCGGTTCCAGTTCTCATGCTCCATCTCTCACTCTGACTACAGAGCTCTGCTTACAACGAGAAGAACAAATGATTTAAAAATCAGAAACTTTAATTATAGAGGAAGGAAGGCAAACATTTAATCTGTGTCTGTCTGTCTGTCTGTGTCTATCTGTGTCTGTCTGTCTGCAATAGAGACGCCAGTTCATAAGTTTAATTTGGAGAAGGGAAGGGATGTTGGAAGGCCCTCCAGGCAGGGAGACAGAGCTAAACTACAGAGTGAGAAAGTCACTCAAATCAGATATGGTCACACACTCTTTGGTCCTTTCTGTGGACTGAACTACTGTCAGACGCAAGATGCAGGTCACAAAGCTGGGACTCAGCACACGGAAGGGCCCTCCTACCGTCAGGAGCTCTGAGCAGAACCTAGTGACTTAGGGGCACCCAGGTCCCAGCTGGACAGAGGCAATGTTCTCCCTGACTGCCAAGATGGGGACTGCTCTTCTGTCCCCACTGCTTCCGCCCGAAGCCCCATTCCAGAATCCAGGGGGTGCTTCATGCAGCTAGGACTTTGCAGGTCTGCTCGATGCTACCCAGTCTCCCCTTCATGAGCTCCTGGCCACTACTGCCCTAGTTGACAGTTTCCTTTCCATGGTGGTTGAAGTCAGTTGGGGTGGGTGATGGAGAGTTACTGTCTGCTGATTTCACTCCTCCTGCCTCCCTTGGTCCTAATTAACCAGCAACAACTGAGGTGGATGGATAGTAAGAGGGGTAACAACCCTGCCCTGAAGACCCTTGTTCAGGGCAGGCAAACTGAAGAGTTAAGAGTAGCCTGTATGCTCCTGGAAATCCCCAAACTTGATTCATCCACACAGTAACCAGATAAACTTTACCATTTCCCATGTCTGCAGATGACTTTGAGTCTAAATTCACGTTCCATTCTGAGGAAGACTTTCCTCCTCCGGATGAATATAAACCATGCCAGAAGATTTACCCCAGCAAGATCCCCAGAAGTAAGTACCCCTTTGATGAGACCCCTAGTTTTTCCTGCCTCTTCAAAGTAGATGCTCTCTGCATACTGATTGACCACAGACTACATGAAGGATAAGCTGGTGATCACATGGCACGCTCACAAAGAGAAGAAATTAATCACTTGGCTACTAACAGCACGGGGAGGGGATCGTTTGAATTCACCCAGTGGCTGTACTGGAGAAAGATCCCGAGGTCTACTTCTGTAAAGATACCCCTACCACATGGGGTTTCTGTGAGTCAGAATTGACTCCATAGCACCCAAAAACAACTGTGAGACCATTGCCTGTTTTTTTGGCCGGGACTTCACACTGTTTCATTCCAGTTAGACCCTCGGTTGAGAATTTGCCTTTCCACCCCAGATATAAGGATTCAGAATCTACAGTTTAACAAGATCCGTAGGTGATTCTTCTATATCTTGTTCGAATGAGTGAAAAGGCAAATTCTCAGCAGGGCTTTCGAACAAGATGAACTGGCTCGGAGCCCTGCTTCCGGAGCAGGAGACTGTGCATACACCTGGAAGTTTCAGAACATTTCTTTGTTCTCATGCCCAGAACCCATTCAGAGGCTTCTACAGAATAAGCCAAAAGCACAGCCACTGCCATCAAGTGGATTGTAACTCATAGTGAGTGAGCCTAGAGAACCGAGTAGACCTGTTCCATATGGTTCCCAGGATGTAAAACATTATAGAAGTAGACAGCCTTATCGTTCTCCCAGAGAGCTGCTGCTGGATTCGAACCACCAACCTGCCCGTTAGTGGTCCAATGTTGAGCTCACTGCATCACCAGGGCTCTCTCTCTTTTCTTTTTTTTTTTTAACAGAATATCAGGGTTAATTGTTTGGAGTGGGATTTGGATGCCACACATCCTGTGGCTAAAATACCCCAACCAACAACAAAAGCAGGAATTTTGCTATACTAGCTGGGAGAAAACCTGGAAGCCACCAGTTCAGGATTCTGGTGAACCGTGCAGAATGCAGGATGCGTAGATCAGTGGTTCTCAACCTCAGCTGTCCACTAAAATCACCAGGAGAGCTTTTAAGACTCCTAGGTGCTATTGAACCAGCACTGGATGAGAACCACAGGGTCAGTGGTTCAAACCCACCAGTTATTCCTCAGAAACCCTGTAGAGAGTTGCTATGAGTCGGAATCGACTCGATGGCATTTAACAACAACAACAAAGGTCAGGCTGCAGTTAGACCAATGAAGTCAGAATAGCTGGGATGGGGCCCCACTGTTCCAATTATTTCCAAAGTAGAGAAGCACAGCTGAGTGAGAAGCCTTCATTCTGATTTAGTTCTGGGGCCTGAGTTGCCCTTTTATCTGTTCAGCCTGAAGAATAGAAGAGTTGAAAGGGCAGGAAGACAGAACCTCCTCATGTGAACACAGGAAGGAAGCAAAGCAAGAGTGACTCCTCGACCCCTCAGTGAAGCTGCCCCTCTTTAGCATGAGCCAGTCTTGTTCTGTGTGGACCAATCGAATTAGCCCCTCTTGTGGAGGGTCTACAAAGAGATAAGCAGACCCTTACTATCATGGGGTGGTAGTTGGTGTTCCCCACCCCACAACTTGAATAAGGCCCCTAGCCCATATGTCAATGTGACCCAACTGACTCTGGAAGCTTTAGAGTTGGTGACCCCCTACCCTAAACCAAAGGAGCCCTGGTATCAGAGTTAGTTAGTTATGTGTTGGGTTACTAACCACGAGGTCAGCAGTTCAAATCCACTAGCCACTCCGCAAGAAAAAGATGAGGCTTTCTGGTCCAGGAAAGACTTACAACCTCGGAATCTTTATACAGGGTCACTACAAGTCAGAACCGACTCTACGGCACACAAGAACTACCACCACCACCACTCCAAACCAAAGAAACGCTGTTGGCGCAACAGTTTAGCAGTAGGCTGCCAACTGAACGGTGGGTGGTTTGAACCCACTCAGTGGCTCCATGGGGGAAAAGACCTAGTGATCTGCTTCAGTAGAGATTACAGCCTATGGACAGTTCTCTGTTACATGGGGTCTGAGTGGAAAATCAACTCAACTGTATCTAACAACCCTACAGCAAGGCTGCGCAAACTTTTTCTGTCCAGGGACAGATAGTAAATACTGTAGGCTTTGCAAGCCATGTGGTCTCTTTGCAGTTACTCAGTTTTGCTGTTTTAATGTAAAAGTTTGTTGTTGTTGTTGTTGTTGTTGTTAGGTACTGTCTGGTCTATTCTAACTCATCGACCCCATGCACGACAGAACGTAACACGACAGAATGCAGCAACATTCTCACAATTGTTACTATGTTTGAGTCCATTGTTGCAGCCACTTTCTCAATCCATCATGTTGAGGGTCTTTCTCTTTTTTGGCTGACACTCCACTTTACCAGACAAGATGTCTTTCTCCAGGAACTGGTTTCTCCTGACAACATGTCCAATGTATGAGAGATAAAGTCTCGCCATCCTAGCTTCTAAGGAGCATCCTGGCTGTACTTCTTCCAAAACAGATTTGTTTGTTCTCTGGCAGTCCATGGTACTTGAAATCTTCTTCACCTACACCATAATTCAAATGCATCTGTTCTTCTCTAGCCCACCTTATTCATTATCCAACTTTCACATGCATATGAAGTGATTGAAAATACCATGGTTTCCATCAGACACTTCTTAGTCCTCAAATGGATGCTGTTAGTTTGATTTCTTGAGGTTGTATCAATTGTGTGTCACAGGTTGCTAATAAGTCTCCTCCCAATCCTGATGCCACATTCTTCTTCATATAATCCAACTTCTCTGATTATTTTCTTAGCATATAGATTAAATAACTGTAGTGAAAGGATATAACATTGGCATATACCTTTCCTGATTTTAAAACATTCATTATCCCCTTGTTTTGTGCCAATGACTGCCTCTTGGTCTGTGTACAGGTTCCTCATGAGCACAATTAAGTGTTCTGGAATATCCATTCTTCGCCCTGTTATCCATAGTTTGTTATGATCTATACAGTCAAATGCCTTTGCATAGTCAATAAAGCGCAAGTAAACATCTTTCTGGTATTCTCTGCTTTCAGTCAAGATTCATCTGATGTCAACAATGATATCCCTCATCCCACATCCTCTTTTAAATCCAGCTTGAATTTCTGACAGCATCCTGTCTATGAACTGCTACAACAATTTTTTAAATTATCTTCAGCAAAATTTTACTTGCATGTGGTATTAATGACATTTTTGATGGTTTTCACATTCCATTGGGTCACCTTTCCTTGGACTGGGAACAAATATAGACATTTTCCAATCAGTTGTCCACATGATTTCTTGGCATAGACAAGTAAGTGCCTCCAGTATTACATCAGTCTGTTGAAACATTTCAATTGACATTCCATCAATTCCTGGAACCTTGGTTTTCACCAATGCCTTCAGTGCAGCTTGGATCTCGTCCCTCAGTATCACTGGTTCTTGATCATATGGTACCTCTTGAAATGGTTGAACATTGTCTAACCCCTTTTGGTACAGTGACTTTGTGTATTCCTTCCATCTTCTTTTAATGCTTCCTGCATTATTCAATAGTTTGCCCATAGAATCCTTCCATATTGCAACCTGAGGCCTGAATTTTTTCTTCAGTCTTTCAGCTTGAGAAACGCTGAGCATGTTCTTCCCTGTTGGTTTTCTAACTAACTGCAGGTCTTTGCAAGTTTCATGATAATACTTTGTCTTCTCCAGCTGCCCTTTGATATTTTCTGTTCAGCTTTTTTACTTTCTCATTTCTTCCATTTGCTTTAGCTTCTCTATTCTCAAGAGCAAATTTCACAGTTTCTTCTGGCACCCACTGTGGTCTTTGTTTTCTTTCCTGTCTTTATAAAGACATTTTATTTTCTTCACAGATGACATTCTTGATGTCTTCTGGTCTTAGGTCACTTGTGTCTAATGTATCAAATCTCTTTTTGAGATGGTTTCTAAATTCAAGTGAGATATACTCAAGGTCATATTTTGGTTCTCCTGAACTTTAAATTTCTTCTGCTTCTCCCTAAACTTGCATATGAGCAATTGATGTTTTGTTTCAGAGTTGGCCCCTGGCCTTGTTTTGACATATGATATTGAGCTTCTCCACGGTCTTCTCACAGATGTAGTCGATTTGTTTCCTGTGTCCACGTGTATAGTCACTGTACGTTGTTGAAAAAAGTATTTGCAATATGAAGTTGAAAAAATAAATAATTCCTTGGTCTTGCAAAATTCTATCATGCAAACTCTCGCACTGTTTCTATGGCCAAGGCCGTATTTTCCAACTACCGATCCTTCCTCTTTGTCTCCAGCCTTTATAGTCTATCAGTAATTATCAATGTATCTTGATTGGCTGTTTAATCAATTTCAACTTGAACAAGTTCTTAGAATTCTTCAATTTTATCGTCATTGGCTTTAGCGTTTGGTGTATAAGCTTGAATAATACTGGTATTAATTGGTCTTCCTTGTAGGCATATGGATATTGTCCTGTAACAGACAGCATTGTATTTCAAGGTAGATCTTTAAATTTTCTTTTTGAGAATGATTGTGAGGCCCTTCCTCTTGAATATGTCATTTCCTGTTAGTAAATCATATGATTGTCAGATTCAAAATGACCAAGACCTATCCATTTCCATTCTATTTCATTTTTGACAACTTCCAATTTTCCTAGATTCATTCTTTGTACAGTCCATGTTCTGATTGTCAGTGAATGTTTGCAGCTGTTTCTCCTCATTTTGAGTTGTGCCCCATCAGCCAATGAAGGTCCTGAAAGCTTTGCTCCATTCACATCATTATGGTCAACTCGACTTTGAGGAGGCAGCTCTTTCCCAGACATATTTTGAGTGCCTTCCAACCTGAGGTGCTCATCTTCTGGCACTCTATTTGACAGTGTTCCACTGCTGTTCCTAAGGTGTTCAATGGCTAACCTTTCAGAAGTGATGCGCCTCTCCTTTTTCTTAGTCTGTCTTAGTCTGGAAACTCTGCTGAAACCTATCAACCATGGCTGGCCCTGCTGGTAT